CACACACACACACACACACACACACACACACACACACACACACACACACACACACACACACATGCATGCATGCATGCATGCAGGAGTGCCGCGAGATTGTGCAAAGCAGACGTGATCGCGATCAGGCTGAACAACACCGTAAGTCAATTCAGGCAATGTTGCATGCAAGCACGAATGTGGTGTGCAGATTGCACGCTTATTGCACGGAAACCAAAACAGTTTTCTTGCGGCTCACACAACAACAACCAACTAACAACGCACACACACATCCACAATACACACACATCCACAATACACACACACATCCACAATACGCAATACACACACAACACAAATCACCGCGAGTGCAGTATCTGGTGTGCGGCGGTCGTCGCGGTTGCGCGGGACGACACCGTCAGCAGCATCAACCACTCGACACACCATGCACACCTCCGATGATGATTGTGACGATGATGGTGATGGTGGTGACGGTGATGCTGGAACTGCACAGACCACGGCACGGCAAGCTGATGCGGAGAACACTTACACGGAAGAAGCTGCTGATGATGATGACGACGACGATTACGATGATGGCACCTCCGTGCTTGCAAGCAACGGCGACACGACTGTACCAACAACAACAACAACAACAGCAGCAGCAGCAGCAGCAGTGAGTGATGGTGGCAACGCGGATGCGGATGCCGTGAACGGTGGTGGTGAAGTTGCGCTGAAACGCAAGCAAGGAAGCAGCAGCAGCAGCAGCGGTGATGGCGATGCAATGGACGAGACAAACGATGATGGTGATGCTGCTGGTGGCGATGGTGACAAGGGGGAGGCGGACATGGACCGAGAGGACCACGGTACAGACGGCAATCACGACGGCAAGCACGACGGTGGCGACCATCGACACGAGGAACGCGCGGCAGTGCCACGTAGCAACGGCGATAGTGGTGGTGTGACGGCTGCAGCCGACACGAGCGGACACCAGGCCGATGACACCAGCACGGCGACGAGTAACGATGCTGGTGATGATACAGGCGGCGTGACTGTGAGTGACGATCAGCACCAGGCACTGCTCAGTGTGCCGCCCAACAAGACAGCACCTTCGACAAACATAGATACAACAGCTGACAATCGCGACGATGATGACGGAAACGACGATGATGATGGCAGCGATGATGTTCATGAGCTTGACATCACGCGCGACGACGTGATGTCGTCGTGCATGTGTGTGGTGGATGCAACTTCCGATTTTCCGACAGAGCGCCTGCAAGAGATTTATCACCATCTGACGTGTCTCGTGTTCAAGTACTCGCACGTCTGGCGCCGCCGCCGCTTGCTCACGGTGTGTGTGTGTGTGTGTGTGTGTTTCTGTGTTTGTGTGTGTGTGTGTGTTTCTGTGTGTGTGTGTGTGTGTGTGTGTGTGTG